CCCCGGCCGCCGCCGTGGCTGCCCGGCGATGAACGGCGGGGCTCTGCCGCCGCTGCCCCCCGCCGCCCCCCGCGGCCGCCGGCGGCCCGCCTCCCCCGAGCTGCTGCGCTGCAAGCGCCGCCTGGCCTTCGCCGCCCTGCCGGGCACCGGGGCGGCGGCGGCGGCCGCCGTGGCCCGTCGGAACGAGCGGGAGCGGAACCGCGTGCGGCTCGTCAACCTGGGCTTCGCCGCCCTCCGCCAGCACGTCCCGCACGGCGCCGCCAGCAAGAAGATGAGCAAGGTGGAGACCCTCCGCTCCGCCGTCGAGTACATCCGCGCCCTGCAGCGGCTCCTCGACGAGCACGACGCCGCCGCCTCTTTCCCCGACGGCCGCGGGCGGGTGGCTGTCGGGGAAGTCGGCGGCGGCGGCTACTCCTCCGCTTCGCCCTCCTTCGCCTCCTCCGTGCCCGGCTCGCCCTGCTCCTCCGAGGAGAGCGGCTACGACGCGGCGCTCAGCCCTGAGGAGCGGGAGCTGCTGGACTTCACCAGCTGGCTGGGGAGCTACTGACCCGGCGGGAGGTGAGAGGGCAGCCGGAGGGGAGGGGGGGGCCGCTTTACCGCCCCGGCGCTCGGGGGAGCGGGGCACGGACCCACCCGGGGCTCTCCTCACATCTCTCCGCAGCCGCGCTCAGCCTGCAGCACCTCGGCGCCCGCATCATCCCCCCTGGAAGTACTGACCTCCTCCCCGGCGGGACCCCGCTGGCTGCTTTTCTCGCCGGGTTCACCCGTCGTCTTCGGGTCGTGGAAAGTGCAATGATGTAACTGACTTCGGGGCCCCGCTCCCTGCGCCGGGGCAGCGTCTCCGCCTGCCCGCCGGCAGCTGCCGACCGATGGAGAGGATGCCCGGGCGAACCCGCTTCTCTCCCGCCGCTGCTCTCTGGTGTTGCTTTGGAGGGGTGGAAAGGAAAAAAAGAAATCAAAAACACTTGATGCTTCCTTGTTTCTGGAGGGGGAGGGAATTTTTTATCATGTCAGATTCTATTTTATATGTAACTTGAACTGCCTGTGGGAACACTGGTGTATGAAGACTTATTTTTGTACAAAAAACCTTAGAGAAAAGGGTTGAAAAGATGGTTTTATTTTTAGCAAGTCCTATTCACTTGTTCTTGAACACTGCCAGCTGGAATGTTTTGGGAACATACATGGTGTAGGTAAAAAGGTGTTTGTTTGGGTTTTTTATTATTATTATTCTCTCCAAACACTTCAGTAAAAGACTGTAAAGTTGTGTTTCAACGTGGTGTCTGAGTTTGCCTGGTGTGAAGGTCCACTTCTCTGACAACTGAAGTTTTTTTTAAAAAAATGTATTGAAGGCATTTTTGTCTGCACTTGCTAGGATTTCTTAAGTTGTATATATGCAGTTTTTAAGAGAGTATCATATTTTATGTAAATTGACTTTATAAATAAAAATCTATTTATAAATGGCTTCAGGGCTGTAAGATATATGTCAGAAATGCCCAAGGTAACTTAACTGTTGCCTGAAGGGGTGGGAGACGAAAATAATGAGCGACAGAGCAGAGAGACAGTTCTCCTGGACCAGGTTTCATGTGCAGAAGGGAATAAGGAGCAGCATAACAATCTCCAGGCTTGCCTTTTTTTTTTCCCTGTTCAAGTTTTATACACTCAGCATTGGAGCAAGTACTGCAGAAATGATGTTTTGGAAGCTGCAGATGTGTATAGGAGACAAGGCAGGTTCAGAGCTGATAACTCCTTTCCTGAACATGGAGAAGGTGCTGCTGCAGGAGGCTGTGTTGCCCTTGCCTACAGTGATGGGAGAGTTGTGGGAAGGTAAAGAGGAAATGGGTATCTGAAGTTTTTCTTGGCAGCTACTCTCAAGAGGTAGGTTGGGGTGCCTTTATTCAGGGGAGCAGCATCTTCAAGAACACTGTTGTCGTTCAAAAACCACACGTAACCAACAGTGTTCCACTCTGACTTACCCTAAGTTCAACTGCATGTACATATTCTTTATGTAAAGGCAACAAGCAAACGTGAATTGCTCCTTGGAAACTGTTGTCAGAGACTCATAAGCTCTGTCCATTACTTTTGGGCTCATGCTGAAGATCTGCTTCAGTGGTGAGCCAGAAGTAAGACTGTGTGTCTTTAAGGTAATACTGCTGTGAAACAAAACACAGTGATGATTTCATGAAAAACTATGGCAGACCTGTTAATTCCCTTAAATAGCTCTAGTGAATGTTAGGAGTTGAATGGAGCAAAATGGGCTGGCCTGTAGAATATGCTGAACGAACACAAAGCAGAAAGGGTTATTAAAATTGACCTACTTTACAGGACTCTGTGTATAATCTCTGCTGCCTCAGTACTGGGAAGGTAGAACTTTTCAGAACTATCATGTAGCAGACCCACATGCAGTAATTGCAGAGGATGCTCTGTAATCCAGATCTGTAAGAGTATTCCACACACATGATTCCATTCGAAGAGAAAAAAAAAATATCTCCAAAAAAGCCATGGGGAAATGAAGGCTCTAACAGCAGGTAGCATTTAGGATACTGCAATCAAGAGCAATAGTTATTGTGCTTCAAGTTCATTCCTTAATCAAAGTTACTCTAATAAACAGTCCCTTTAAAAGGCACAGGGAAATCAAGTGCTTAATAAATTGCTTGCAAAGGTTTTATCCTTTATGGCTCTTCAACAGTCCCAGAGGTAGGAATGAGAGCTGTGAGCTGACTTGGGCATTTAGTGATGAACTGACTTGGCAGCAGCAGGTGGGGCTGGTGGTGTGGGGGAGTAATGTGGTACCTTTCCCCAGGGTGGGTTTAGGGGCTTTATCTTCACGGATGATCTCCAAAAAATCAGTCAGGCATAAACTACATACTCATTCTCAATCTAAAAGAACACCATGTCATCTTTTCCAAACAGTTTAGAAGTTGGGACTGCTGCATTGATCTGCACAAGTGTCCCACTCTGGCAGAATGCATTTGTTTAAAGCACGTTACTACTGCTTGGCAGGGTGTTTGTTTTCCTTCTTTAGGAGCACCGATTGTTTTAGTATTTCCAAAAGCAATATTTGGCTTTCAGTCAAGTAACTTCCAGCATTGTTACCATGTTCATCTGATCACCCACGACACTGTTGCAACAACATTGAAGCAGCATCAACTGTAACTGTATTGGCAAGATATTAGCTGTAAGCAGTTTTCACTTAAGCAATATTAATAATAGTGGGGGGGAAAGGAGCTTAGTCAGCATCACAAGTTACCTTAATGCTGTCAGCCAGTGTTTTAGTAGAAACTAAATGGGGAAATCAGGAATGTATGATTTGCTTTAAAAAAACCGCACACTGGTCATAAGTCTTCCAAACAGTTGAGGTGAAAGAAGGTGCAGTGAGAAGGATGTCTGCCTGTATGTCCTGTGTGATGGACAGAGGGACTTCTTTCCCCAACCATGGTCATGGTGACAAGTCTGTAGCAGATCCTCAGACCAAGCTGCTACACCAGAGAGAAGAGTATTGAATCATTCCACCCTTTTAAGAGAAAGCATTAGGGAGGATGCAAGGTAGGTTCTTTAGCAGTTGCAGAGACAGCAGGTACCTTCAGCCAGCCCAGCTCACTCCTTTTTAGTGGAAGAAGACTGCATGGACCCCGTTGAGAAGACTTCTGACCCTAAAAACTCACACCTAGGCCTCTCTGCTCCATTTATGCAAAATGGTGCCAGTGCAAAGACTTGAAGATGAAAGCCCTTTGACCGTGAGAGTCATCTGTCAGCAGCAAGAGTAACAGCAGACCTGTCTTCTCAGCCAGGTGCTTCCCCTGCCTGGAGAAGCCACCTACACGTGATGATGAGGCCCTCAGTGTCTGGGTTAGCTGCAATCAACCAAGAGCTGCCATGAGGGCTTCCAGGAAGCCTAAACTGCTACCCAGAATGCTTGTGGCAGGGATGGGGAATGCCTCTGATGAGCACATCATTTCTCTTTAGATGTATAACGAGAAACTCAGTGCCTAAAATGGAAACTCCATCTCCCCAGAAAGACACAAACCGAGCCCTAAGGTACAGGGCTGCAGGAGACTCAGTCAGATTCAGGCAGAAAAAGTATGCTGAGGAATTCTGAGAGTTAAGCCAAACAAAAGGGTAAGGACACCAGGAGGTACAGACTTGTCAATGTGTGGCTACAAAGCACATTTCTGTAAACCTCTCATATCTACATCCACCGATGGGTTCCCATTTTCCTAAGCAGCATTTCACAGGTCACAGACATATCTAATGAAGCAGAAATAAGTTGCAGAATGGTGTTAGGATTAGCTGCCCACACCCCCAGGCTGAAAGAACCTTTCAATTTTCAAGCAGTGTCCCCTCCTTGGCATATTTTTTTTGTTGCTCAGACTGAAGCTTTTCTTATTACCTAAGCACATAAATCCCAGCACATGATAAAAATATTTCTATGCATTATTGCCCAGTACTGTTTAAATGATGATGTCACCCTTAATGGGCAACCTCAGGTTCAGTTCCACGGCTACACTCCTTCCAAAATTTCTTCACATGCTATTAAAAATAATTTTGAAGGAAAGGCCTATGCCGCCTGCTTGAAGGCTTGTGCACCACAGAGAAGACCTAGGAAGCAGGCAGGAGGGTGCCCTGCACCATCTCCATGGCAGGATGGCATTGCTGGTCCTCCTTGCAGGAAGAGTGGCTTCAGCAGAACCCCAGCACCACAGGACCCTGCAGGAAAGCCCAAGGGAAAAGGGCTTCCTCCTGTTCCTACCACCACAAGGTATCACCAGCAAATACCTGCTTCACCACAGACTGTTCTGTGGAGAATAGCCCACGGTTGGTTTAAATGTATAACAACTCACTTTTGCATGAACACCTCATAAAGATCTTGTTAGAGACCAATCAGGGCAGGCAGTGAGGCGAGCTCCAGCAGATCAGCTTGCTGCTGCCTCTCCTCCTGTCTGCGAGGAGCAACTGCCAAGAAGATACTTGTCCTGCCAGCCTTTGGTGTGCGTACCAAGGCTTTTCGCCTGCCACAGTTTGTGGGCAGACGGCTGTGTGCCGAGACTAGTCCCGAGGTCATTTCACTCTTTTCATGCAGGTCACAGAATAGCTGGCTAACAGCAACAATTTTCAGTCACTTCTTATCTGGATTGGATGTGGGCCGGGAGCCTGGGAGGGTGTGTAGTTAAGAGTGAAAGACAGCCCCTTGCACAGCTGACGGCAAACAGAGCTGGCCTGGCTTTGCCCGGTTTGGGCATTGGCCAACAAGGGTTCGATTTTCTTCCCAGAAACTACCATCAACAGAGCATTAGCCAAAGGCATACCTTGGAGTAATGGGACTAACAATATTAGCTGAATACAGCACCAGCTGTAATCACAAATTAATGTCACACCCTTAAGAGGCTGTCGGACAATATAAAAAATGAGTTAGAATTCCAGGGACACCATGAACCCCCAGCTCCTTTTGAGATTTGTGTACACCCTGGCACACATGAACAGAGGAGCTCTGCCAGGTGCTTTCAGAGTACCCTTGGGAGCTCATCACAGGTCTTCTCAAGCCAGTCCCTGAGACTTGCTCTTTGGAGAAATGAATGGATGCTCCTATAGCCGAATCTGAGGACATGGGGGGTGGTGGGGGTGGCATGTGTACATTTAGAGGTGCTCAGTCTTTTTTATTATATCCAATTACTTTCTTCCACCCATTATTTTCCCATATTAAAGATCTACTCAGAATGATGGTAAAGCTAGTTAGTACAAGAACGAGAGAGGTGGCATAGTTAAGGCACTTCCC